TGTTTAGTTCTTGCATATAGATCGGAAAACTTTTCCCTTCCATTACTAATTTTAGTCTATGTGATTCTTTTTCCTTAGAGTTCAGGTCAGCAATAAGTTCGTATTAGCTCAAGGTACGAATTCTAGGCCAAATTAGAAACCTTCATATCTCTGTTGTCATTCTTTTTAAATTAATCAGATGTGCAGAAACTTATTCATGCAATTTGGCAAAGGAAAATTACAATTACCTCTCCTGCAATTATTAAATAAAACTTTAATATTTGTGTTATAGATCAGTGATGGTGGACCTTTTAGGAGCTGGGTGCCCAAACTAAAAGGCCTTCCAGCACCAGGTGTTATCTGGTGCTGTGAGCAGGACTTCTTCCTCCCACCCTCTAAGGCAGGGATAGGCAACCTTTCCCCTTTAAGGGCCGAGGGACTTCAGCTCCCAGAATCCCAGGAGCTATTGGCCAACATGGGACTATTGGCCAACATGGCTGAGGCTTCTGGGAGCTTAAGTCCCTCGGCCCTTAAAGGGGAAAGGTTGCCTACCCCTGCTCTAAGGACTTCAGCTGCCCCTTCGGAGACAGCTGAAGGCTTGGGGGGGGGAAGGGAAGAAAAGGAACAGGCACATGCCTTTTCGTCCTCTCCCTACACTCTCCCAGGCCTTCAGCTGCCTTTCCAGAGGCAGCCGAAGGCCTGGGACAGCCAGGAAGGATGAGGAATAGGCATGCACCTGATCCTCCTCCTCCCTCACCGAAGAACAGGCATGCACTTTTTCTTCCTCCTCCCCCTGCACCTTCTCACGCCTTGAAATGCCTCTCTGGAAGCAACTGAAGGCCCAAAAAGACTCTCCTCTTCCCCACTGTCCCAGGCCTTCAGCTGTCTCCCATAGGGAATTGAAGGCATAGGAGGGCATGGAGAAGTGGAGGAACAGGTGCACACCTGTTCCTTCTCTTCTCTACTCTCCCATGCCTTTAACTGTCTCTGGAGAGGCAGCTGAAGTGATGGGAGGGCAGGAGGAGGAAGAGCAGGGGTGTGCCTGTTCTTTCTCTTTCCTTGCCTTCCATCTCTCCGTGTGCCCTCCAAAATGACTTCAGGTGCCAGAGATGGGTTCGCCAACACGGTTATAGATCTTTCCTTAAACTAGATCATTCAGATCAATAAACTGTGTTAAATTATGTCATTTAAATCAAGCAGATTTACTTATGAACCAGTTCCATGTTATGCTGAACACATACCCTGTTGCTGTATAACCCTTGTTGTTTACTCAAGGATAAACATGTGCAACCACAATCTGTATTGACAATACATGGACAGATGGGGGTGGTTAATGCTCTCCATCAGATTAATACATAAAATTGTACCCACCTGGGTTTCAAAGAAAGAAGGAAAACTAATCTGGCATTGGTAGAGGTTACCCCTCCTTTAATCACTGTTGTGTGCCTTAAAGTCAATTCCAACTTATGGTAACCCTAAGGCAAACCTATCCTGGGTTTTCTTGGCAAGATTTTTTTTCAAGGGGTATGTGTGTTGCTTTTACCATCTTCTGAAGCTGAGAAAGTCTGATTTGCCCATTGGATTTCCTTGGTCGAGGAAATTTGAACCCTGATATCCCAGCATCCTAGTCCAACAATCCTAGTCCAACAATCAGACCACTACACTATGCTTGTTTTTGTTAACCATTGAACAGGAGCAATTTTAAAATAAGAAAGTATATTCAAATTGCATCTGGATCAGGGCTATACACATTTACTTTAGAAAAGGAAAAAGGATTACACATCTTGAGCAGCACATTCCTAACATATCATATTGATTAACATTTTGAGCCAGATAAAATCTGGAAGCCAAATAGAAAATGAGTCTTAATATTGTCGAGAGATGTTGTTAACATATTTGATGTTTTCTGGCATTTCCCACACTACATTCTAAGTCTGTTGTATATTTGTCTTGTTGATGATCAGCACATACCCAGTTCTCTTGAAGTGCCTTGGAATAAGTCAAACTATCCCTCTTCTCTTAAAAATAATAAATAACCTGGCTCATTCCAACCCAATATAAATCCAATCTGAGTTTGATTTTATTATTCCAATTCCTTGTTTTACTGTTTGTCTATTGCTTTATTTTATTGTTGTATTTTAACTCTTTTCTAGTTTAATTCTGTTTTAAGGGGATGGGAGGGTGGGATTATGGGATGAGACATGTTTTAACTTGTCAGTTTTAATATGTTGTAACCCGCCCCGATTGCTCTGCAGAGGGGCGGGCAATAAATAAAATTTATTATTATTATTATATTATAAAACATCAAAGCACTCATACCACTGCCCTACCTGAGAACAGAAAGTGAAAAGCAATACAGTTATCTTACTTGGATTTTAATGAGACAGATTTTTTAAGGGTAACAGAGAATGCTGTTTTATGTTTTATGGGAACCATAAGTAATGCATATTTATAACTGCAATTCTGCCATATAGTTGTAACTAACTACAAAGTTAGGTGCATGTTGTGTGTGCATTATCAAGCACTCACACCTTGAAAACTCCTCTGTGGAGAAAGTAATTAGTTACAGTTATTTCCAGTCCCTTACCAAAAGGGTGTCATTATTTACCATCATAACTACTGTTCTTTAAAAGTAATTGTTTACTCCCTAGATTTGTTACTTTTAGTTGATTTAAAATGTCTTTGAATGGCCTGTAATATTTAATTTCATTTATTCACTTAAGCCATTTTAACACCTTTCAGCCCCCATTACTTTATGGTGAATAAAACTTAGTAGAAATGACATTACCTTACAATGAATAAAAATTAAAATTGAATCCATGACTAAATATAATTCAAAACAAACTAAAATCCTCTTTAAAACAGCTCTAAAGTGAAGACAATAAAAATTAAAAACTTCTAAAGCCAGCAGGAGCAGCCATATTAATACCTGCAAGAGAGTATGAGGCAGCCACACAAACCAGCAATTGGACCATCCACCACTAGTGAAGCCACACCTTTCAAATTATAAAAGCAAATAAAAAGTTACAGTTTCGACACAGAAAACTGAATTTATCTAGCACTAAGTTATGATTATAATGAAGTGTATTTGTTGTTGGAAAAGAGGAATTAACTGTAAGTAACTAAGGGCCTCTGCAGACCAGTCCAAAGGGCTGGCCTGGAGGCTGACACCTTCC